GCACGAATTCCTCCTGGGTTTCAGGCTTGTCCCTGTTCATGGTAGTGGAGCAGTGCTGGACTCACCTGCACTGCTCTCTTCCGCAACCCAGACAAGAGGAAGGGGAACGATACTTTTTGAATGTCGCAGCCAAACCACCGATTAACTGTGAGGAGGAAATACTAATTCCCCACTGGAGACATTCATACCGGGTCCTAACAAGAACTGGTGACCTGCAGAAGGAGGGCACATCATAAGCTAAGGGATTCATGTTGGTGGATGGAGCTCTGAGATTCCCGGAGATGGCCTGCAGAGCTTTAGGCCAGCCTACTACACGGGCTCCAATGTCATTGCTGATATAATGTCCCTGACCACAGCACCATTGCACCAGAGAAGACATTGGCCAAATGTGCCCACCATTTTGTCAAGGGTCCTAATGGGGGAAGATAGACAGCTGCAGGAAGATCTGTCTGACGGGTGCTTTCATGAGCAACTAATGATTATTAACAAGCCTGAGATGCTGAACATTTTGCTGTGAACAAAGCAATTACTATAAGATTTGATGCATCGCCAACCTGCTTCCCTTCTGCTTTGACAAAGTCAAACCAAGAACAGAGGAAAAACTTGGTGGCTGAAAACTATGGGGGTGGGAAGGAAGATGCACACATTTGTCATTTGTTGTCTCATAGTGCACTGATTTACTGGGCTGCTTAAAAAACCAGTGTGTACAGCCCAACCCTGATAAAGTCACAGGCAAAGGGGCCAACAAAAGTGGGTGATTTCAGGTGGGGCTGACAGTAAACTGGAGTTGACCACTAGGCAGCAGAACATGACAAAGATAACAGTTCACAAGACAATGGCAAGTGACAAAAGACTGATCTTTTGCCTCAGGCATTTGCAATACGCTCACATTTACACTGCTTCATAAAGGCCAGAACCTTGGCACTGAATTTGGAGAGTTTCTTTAATCCTTTGGTGTATTTTGTGTGTGCTTGTGTATTGCCAAGCTGCAAAATGTATTGACAAATATGCATAAGAAAGGAGGTGCACTCAGCAAATTTTATGTTCTGTTAAAAAAAAAATGTAGGAATGAGATGAATGGAGGTGAGGGGATATCATTGCATGGAAAGCCTGTGAGGGCTTTAGCCCCTTGAGCTTTACTCCTCCCCTTGTGGTGCCATGCACTGGCTTTACCCACCCTCTGACCCTTTTTTTTTTAAAAATTTTCTTCTTGCAAGAGTTTCAGAAGGCCAGCCTCAGGGTTACCCTGCATAGTAGTAACTCATGCAGCTGCTATAATTTAACTATGAGAGAAATCACATGCTTGGCTTTGAAGGCCCAGACAAGCCATACTTGGGGTCATACTGGGGGCACTAATCCTAGGTGCTGAGCAAATACTTGACAAACCTTTCTTAGAGATAAATATTTGTTTTAACTCTTCAAGAGTTTCACAAGCCCACCCTGACAGTTTTTCTGCATGATAAAGACGTCATACACCTGCTACAATTTAATTATGAGAAAATTCACATACCTGGGTCTGCAGCTCTAGGCAAGCCAAACTTGGGCTCTACTGGGAGTACTTTACTCCCAGCAACCACCTGACAAACCTTGTGCGAGAGAATATAACGTATATATATTTTTAAGCAAGGCAAACTGCTTTGCCAATAATAGTTTGCTAACTAACATGATCTTGGAACATCATCCAATAGTTATGATATTAAGCCAGTAGTTTTCAACCTTTGTTGGGAACTCAAAATATGCCTCCTTACAGTCAAGGCACCTCATGGAAACTGCCAGCTCTTTGTTTTTCTGTAGTCAAAAAACTTACAGAGCAATATTTCTGATACAAAGAACTCAGAAAAACCATAACTGGTCAGAATGTTTTTAACACTATGAATTCCTGTTTGAAATCTCTGGATCTCTTACAGATCATGTTTCTACATCCACATTTGCCACATCCCAGCAGAAGATTGCTTAAGTAGTTGATATTATGTGGGTCATGACAATGCCTGGTGTGACCACACATGGAGGTTTCTTTCATTATTATATATTGAAGTCTACCATTGATGATGAAAGCTGTGATATAGGTGAAATGTGATATTTAGGAGTGTTAGTATCCTGGTTTGACTGTATATGGAAAGATTAGAACTGGTCAGAAAAGGATCCCAAAGCATATTTCAGCATTTCCAAGTTACTTTACATTCCCAATTGGAATGAAACTCCAGAGTTTCAAAATTTCTCACAAGAAGAAATTCCAAAAAATTGTTTTCAAACTATTGATTCATTGCTTCAATAATGTCTAAATATTTGGTCAAGTTAATGTATTGTCAATACTGTTAGAACATCTTACTAACTATAAAATATCTTATTTCAATACATAATGTAAACTACATATACAAAAGTCAATCTAATAATATACGATTCTAAATGAATCGGGGAGGGTGGGGGGAGAGAGAGAGCTTAACCATCTATATAAAATGAGTCCCAGAAAGTCTCACCAAAATTCAACATGTCCCAATGAAACACTTTAGTTTCAACAGAACTGCATCTTTGATGGAAATTTGTTCCAGTGGAATTTTCCACCATCTCAGACCTGGCATGGCTTTCTGAAATTTCATACAATTGGTGACAATTCCCTTTCACTGAGCTGCCTGATGTCAGGCAAGTGAATTCATATCTTTCTCCTCTTTGTAAAATGCAGATACCAAGACATCTATCAAACATGGATTGCTTACATGTTTGCAGTCAAGATGAACGGTAGATTTTTTCAGAAAGCTTTTATTTTTTTCTCCTATGAAAAAGTTTGACTTTTTTTTTTATCAAAACCCAAAACTTTTTAGTTTTCCCTAAGTAAAAGCAAAAAATTCTCCTAAGACCAGAAATGTTCATCTCAAAAAGTACAAAAACCATACAGTAGGCATATCTACATGAGATGCTAACTGCACAGTAGCCAAATGATACTGCGCAGTAGCACATCACAGCACCAACTGTACTAATACACTACTGCACAGTATTATTAGGCTACCATGCAATAATATCACCAAAAAAACATTCACCAGTGCTACTGCACAGTAATTCTGGTTATTGCTCATTTATTTAGTACCTGATTATACAAGTACTAAATAAACTCTAGTTACTGCGCAGTAGCATCTCTTGTAGACACCCACCCCCTATTAAAAATGTCATGTTTCAGCCAAAACTCACTGGTACTGTCTTTTTTGATAAGTTGGAAGCTTGCCTTGATGAAAATTTCCATTGCTTCAAGCCCATTTTTCCATTGGGGTTTCAATGGAGAGTTTTTATTCAGTTCTACCATAAGAAAAGGATTTACATGCTCAGGCAATCAGTTGCTTCAGTGCTTTGCTGAATGTGACCCCCTCAGTTCTTGCAAGCTGTGGAAGAAATCTGTCAGGCAAGTTGGCAAGTGTTACCATTTTATTTGTTGTTTACTTCATTTTAAAATGTCTAAGGAGCTACTTGGCAGGAGGTGGTTGTCTTCTCAGCAGCATGTTACAAAATGGCACATGCTGTTCACTCTCATGGAGACTTCACTCTCATTCTTGTTTCATATTTCCCCCTCATCGGACAAAAACAAACTGTTCAGGGTAACCATATGTCCCATTTTCACCAGAGCAGCCCAACTTTAAATGCCTCTTCTGGGTGTCCCATTGGTTGGGTCAAATAAATGTTTTTGTCCCATTTTCACTTAGACTGTTTCCAGCCCGAACACACTCTGGCATCCCACACCACTCGTCCCTCCCTTCTCCCATAGCACAAAGATGAGACCAGAGCTCAGAGACAGTTGAGCATAGAGAATGGGATATCCTGTTTTGGGGTGAGGGAAATATGATCACCCTAATTCAGAGTAAAAGCAACTTCCTCCACCTATAAAAAGAGTCAGACTGTCATGTGCAGAAGAAATAGTATTTTCCAATATGCAACAAGTTCCTTCTGATCTCCTGAGAAAAAAAAAAGCAGAATGAACAACATATCTACCTTCCCCGCCTCCTTTTTTTAAATCAGCTCCAGTCCAAACAACATTGCACAGAGGGAGAGGGGCCAGAATTTCTCAATTTAAACCTTTTGAGCTGCTTGCTTCCCAGAGTCTGATAAATCTGCCATCTTCTCCAAGGTCTGGTGCAGCTGAACACTGTAGGTTATTTTAGGAGGTGTAATTAGCAGGGATCCTGGTTTTCTCTGATTTAAAAAAAAAAAAATCCCCAATTTTCAGTTAAAAAAAAAAAAAAAAAGCAACCCAAATCCATATTTTTCCATGATTAAAATGAAACACCACTTTTATGTATATCTATATATTAGTGGCATTTCATTTAAATCACAGAAAAATGTGGATTTGGGGTTACTTTTTTATTTTATTTTTTTTAAACCAAAAATTGGGGATTTTTTTTTTTTTTTTTTTTTTAAATCAGAGAAAACCCAGGATCCCTGGACATTAGGCACTTTTGTGACCTGGGCCGCACCAACAGTGCAGTGGCTGGGAGAGCAGCAGCGACTGCTGCTATTTTTGTGCCCCCTGCAAGACAGCACTCAGGGCTGGTGCCCCAGTTGTACCACTCTTAGTTGTGCTACTGGACTATTTCTCTCCTCATGTAATCCAGTTCAGCAAAGCGTGCAAGTAGAATGGTTTGACATGATTGAAAATAAAATAAATAAATAAAATGTGTCAAAACACTGCGGACCAGAAATGTGCAGTTTTCTGAGATTTTCATTTGAGAAAAAACGTGATTTTTTTTCCCCCCAAAAGCATTAATGTTGCTTCATGGGAAATGGGAAACAATTTCAGTTTTTTGCCTCCCCTCCCCACCCCCCCCCCCTTTTTTTTTTACATTCTGGAACAATACAAAATTGAAACAGAGTTTCCTTTAAGAGGAAATGTTAGGTCCAAGCTTAGGTAAGTGATTAAATCCCACTGAATTTCAATGCATTACAGACCTCAATTCCTTTCAGAATCATGGGCATAAGATCTTAAGGTCATGGACCTGCATCTTTAATTTTGTGTGCAAAGTGCCTTACATGATGAAGTGCTGATCACTTAACAGGGCCTTGAGGTGATGCCTCAATGCAAATGAATCATCACAATCAGATTGCAAAACAGGCAGTGGCTTGAATCCAGGATTCATTTAATCTCTAGTTCTCCTGCCACACATCACAGACAGTTTCTGTGGTGGAATCTGTTGTGTCTCTTGTCAAGGTAGTAACTGTCTCATTGCATTGCAACAATAATTAAATACAGCTGTCAGGTGAAGTTATAAGCTATGACCTGTGAGACCTTGCGTGGTCACTATCTGCCCTCACGCAAAAATATGCTACTTTCCCCAGGAAGAGAACTTTTCCTCTTCACTGCTTAACAGCAGACATGTGCCCAGTAGGCCTGCTGGGAGCTGTAACAAATGAAATCAGTACACAGAGTCACTTTTGATAAGAGTTGAATGAATGACAGCAATTATGCAATCTAGTACTTGCAAACACAGATGAGCCACAGGAAGCACCACTCTTAGATGCAAGACAATTAACATAAGAAAGCAGGACAAATAAGCGTAGTACAGGGAAGAGTGGATATTCCTCATTCAGGGCTTTTCCAAACACTACCATTAAATATTAATTTCAGGAATAAAAAAAAAAGTTATTTTTATTCTGGAATAATTACTTCAATTTGAGAATGTATTCTGTAATAAGTGATTGTAATGTAACAGCATGTTTACATAGGGGTTATGTTAGAGTAGCTAGTCTGGTCAATTTCCCATGCAGACAAACCCCAAAAAGAGTATTTGGGATGATAAAGATGCCAACAATTCAACTTGATCACCTTAGTATGCCCGACTTCAGTTTATACTTGTGATCCTGTTCTCTAAGACTAGGGACAGACATTACACATAAACCAGTTTAAGTGATCAGAAACTGGTTTAAACCTGTAACAGAGCAGATGTTCAGTGCACATAAACTAGTTTGAAAGTGGCCAAAACCAGTTTGAGATAAACCTGGTTTTCAGGACGGCTATCATTCTACTCCATGAATCTTCTTTATCAGCATCTCTTATGAGAGAAACAGGTGAAACGTTTCCACCACTGCATCTTTATTACTTTCTCTTGTTGGCCCAGCACTTCCATGAACTATGTCCTTGGCCATTCTCCAATGATGTATTAGCTATGGACTCCCCCCCCCCCCCCTTGCCATTCCTTCCTCTAAAAGGTGTCCTCACCTACAATGTTTTCTGGGGTTGGTGGCAGTGGTTCTGTTCCACGTCCTGTTGTACTTCTCCTCAGTTTTCCATGGCGGCCCCCAGTGGCAACACATAAGGGGTGCATGTGTACCCCGAGAGTGCTGGTGCACCCCCCGACAGGCAGTGACATCCCCCTAAGGCAATGGGCAGGGGGGATAGGCGAGAGCACTGTTACCCCGACCTGAGAGTGCCAGCCAGGGAGTGGGGGTGCCAGGAGAAGCACCGCTGGCACTTCCAGGTGCGTCCCTGGACTTTCCATTATCTGATATCCTGGGTACCAAATCTGGCATCTCCAAAGCAGAGGTGGGCAGAAACAGTGTTCTAGTTCTTTGAAAATTTTCAGGATTCCAACCATTTTTCCTGTCCCAAAAGTAGGATTAAAAAACAAATTCCTCAAAAATTTTCATGAACAGAAAATCTGAAAAACATCTGTCTTGGGTCAATAAAACTTTTTTTTTTTTTTTTTTTTACTATAATTCTGTTTACATTTCAAAATTAAAAGTCATTATGAGCTAAGGATGTCAACAAGTGCAAAGTATTGCACGTGGGGAAAAGAATCTCAACTATCAATACATGCACAATGCTGATCTTTGAATTAACCATCACAACTCAGGAAAGAAACCTCGGAGCCATTGTAGATAATTCTCTAAAAACATCAGCTCAGCACATACTGGCAACCAACAAAGCAAATAAGATGTTGGGCATCATTAAGGAATTGAAAACAAAACAAAAAAACATTATGAAGCCACTGTATAAATCCATGGTGTGCCCGCATCTTGCACACTGCAAGTAATTTTGTTTTCCATATCTTAAAAAAGGTTGGGGTGGAATTGGAAATGGTATAGAGAAGGGCGATGAAGGTGATCAGGGGTATGGAGCAGTTGTCATCCCAGGAGGAACTGAACACATGCATGTCTCAGGATGGATGGTGGAAGAACCATAACGGGCCCAACCTTGTTGTGGCAGTGCAGGCATGGCCCTTTCCCTGCTGTCCACAATGAGCCAAGCCGGGGCAACACAGACTTCAGTGCAGCTGCTTGCAGTCTCCCCATCACCTGTTAAGAGCAGTCTGGGCTCTGTGCCATGCAGAAAGGGCCTGCCCAGAGCCTGGGCTGGCTCTAGCAGGCAGCTAGTAAGTGGGTCACTGCAGACAGCAGGTAAAAACCTGGGAGTGTACCACCCTAACAAGGATCAGGCACCTCACAGCTCCCCCGCCATCCACACCTGCCACGCCAACATCTTACAAGTTGAGGTTGTGCTCTGCCCAAAAACCACTGCCAACACTTGGTTTAGAACAAACAAGAGGAAGGATTTTTTATTTTTATTTTTTTTAAATACTGCTCATAATTAACTTGTGGAACTTGTTACCACAGGAGGCTATAGAGGCAGATAGTATAATTGGGTTCAAAAAGGGATTAAACAAATTCAGAGAGCATATCCACTGGGCTTTACTGAATAAAACTGCCAGGGATGTATGCTCTGAAATTCATAAAACAACAATGGATGATGCCAGGGAAGGCATGACAGTGGAGGGATCATACTAGGTATAACCTGTTAGTAGACTCTTCCTCTAAAACCTTTTCCACTCCCCACTGCTGGAGACCATTCTTAACAAAATACAACTTTTTGTTTAGACAATGTTAAAGGGGGCATTTCAAGCTCCTGTTGATTTCCAAGGGAGCCAGCTCAGTCTTACCACAATTAACTCCAGAAGAAGATGCACATGCCATAATCTGGCTGTATTCTTGGTTGCAATACAATTGTACAGAATCCATTTGCTTTTCACATTATATCCCAGAGCCAGCTACTGTATTCTTAGATTTAGTGCAGGATAGTCAAATGCAGTTGTTGTAGCAGTCACCAAATTTATAGCATAGGCCCAGGCAAAAAAAACCCTTATTTTATGCTTGAACATGGTGATCTGCAGTGGATTATTTCCCTCCTCCCCCTCTTCTGGCTAAACTGCCTGCAGTCTCAGCAACAAAGGGCATGTGGATTTATTATAAACAGAACAAAAATGAGTAGCAAAGGAAAGATTAACAGTGTCCTGCTTGCTGAGTCCTACTACAGGGGACCCTATAATTCATGGTCTTCTCAGCTTTATGCCCTTAGTGGGATAAGTTAAAATGACTTGACAACATTTGGCCCTACAGTGAATATAACAAATGGGTATGTTGTAGAGAGAAGATGTTACAGGAGGTTTGTAATGTTCTCAGATGGAGTTGTGGAAAAAAGTTTTTCTGCTCCTCCTACAGCTGGCATGCTATTCTGGCTGCATTTGTACTTGCTTAAATACTAGTACTTACAAAACGCAAGCTGTGGGCATCTTACGACATTTTTCAATCTCTGCAATTTATATTCGCAGTCCTCTGGGAGAAGCAACTTCTACTTTGAAAACAGGACATGTGCTCTGTTTCAAACACACATACCAACCACCTGTGCATGATGGGCCCCATTGAAGGAGTCTCACTATCAGTGTCAATGGCTGTTGAATAAGAACAAATGAGAACAAGGAAAAAAGGATGAGTCATGACTTCAAATGGACCCCCTGAAACATATTGCTCTGAACAGAGACATTACTAATCTTGCTTAGAGCTGCTTTATGCATCACAGGGTCTGGACACATAATACATTTCCATACCCGTTTTCTACACCAGGTTTTTTATACTAGAACCTAGAATGGACAGATGTGCAGCTGTTCCAGAGTAGATGCCCACAATATGGGCTATCACTATCTCACCACCTGGTAGTGGGGGAGCACAGAGATATTTAGCCAAGTTAGCCTGAAATCAGACAGAAGGTGGAGCAGGGTACCACCTTATAGACAAACTCATTAAAAATGCATACGTTTTCATAGGCAACCACCTGCTTCATCAGATGCTATGAATGGAACAAGGAAAAGATCGCAGCCCTTGACCAGGAGTATAGATTGTAGCCATGTTGGTCTAAGGATATAAGCAAACAAGGTTCTTTGGGTAAATCTGATATCTTTTATTAGATCAACTGAAATAATTGGAAACATTCTTCTTTGCAAGCTGTCAGGTATAAACCCTGACCCTTTGTCAGGCTAAGGAAGCATCAAGAAATGCAAGTGACTGCCAGGACCAAGAGGTCCGCAGGGTCTAGGGTATCCTCCTCCTTGTCCTGGGGCACGGCAGGCTCCTTAGGCACTGTCTGAACCCCCCAGTCTAAGACCCCAGAGTTCAGTTGGGAGTGGGAGACCTCTGCACCCTTTGGGACAGGGGTGGGGGTAAGGCTCTTTCACACGATGGTAGGGTAGAGCTGGAGCCCCAGGGGGTCTGCACAGGGTCCCTGACAGGATCGGTCTATTGATTAGGGTACCCCACCCTGACCCCCTCTGGTGCAGAACCATGGGGCAAGCTGAAAGTAAGGTTTTTCTGGGAGGGGGAGAGAGGAGACCCATCAGGCACCAAGGTGGCTTCAGGGTCTGCCTCAGGGTCCTGGGAAAGGTGACCTCCCCCCTTGGGACTCACTGGGGTGAGCCCCAGTGCCCCTCTCTTCCCCCAGATCAAAGCAGGGCACCAGTGCCGGATCTTCCTTTGGGTCGGCCAAGGCCTCAGCCTCAACACCCGTGATCTCAGGGGGTAGGCCGTGACCAGTGGAGTGAAGGACTTCATGGGCTCCTGTTCAGGACTGTTCACCAGTCCTGAAACCTCCTCCACAGGGATCACCCACTTGATCTTTCCCAGAGGAAGCTGGGCTGCTATTTCCCCACCATGTGGTGGTCAGGGGGGGGGGGGGGAAAGAGGGGAGGAGTCCTCCACATCAGAGGGCTCCAGCTGCACCCAGGCCTTCCTCTTGGCTTTATGCCTGGAGGGGACCTACACCCACTTAGCCATGGGGTGGTCCTCAGGTGGACAGGCTCCAATAGAAGGTGAGGGTTGGGGGGCTGGGGCAGCTACAGCAGGGGCATGACTAGGGGCAGGGGGAACCTCACTCCCTCTCTCCCCTTGGCTGCTGCTGCCCTCCCCAGGACCCCACCAAATTTGATTTGGGGGCAGGGTCCCCTAAGCTCACAGGAGGGCTAGATGATGTGGCTGGGATGCCCAGGGGGCCTGAGGGAGGAGGGGTACTGGTGGCAGGGGCATCCCTCTCACCAGTGGGACCTGTGGATGCTCTCTCTTCCTGGCCCAGGGGGCACTCCTGATGCAAGTGCTGTGGGGCACAGCAATGGAAGCACTGCAGGTCCCCCAGTATATAGAAAACCCTCACCAAGGCCCCCTGAAAATGAATCATGAGGCACCCCTCAGCCTCCAGCAGTGTTCCCACCACCAGCTGGATCATAACCTGGCTGAAAGAGCACATGTGGCGGAGATTGCGGTCTTGGAACCCCAACAAGAGGGCCACCACCAGGGAGATAACTCTCCCCAGGGTTTGGAGCTGGGGGAGCAGGGCCCAATTAGGGATATAAGGAGGTGGCCTCCAAGGCAAGGAAAAGGACCCCTTTGCCATGAAAGTGGGAGGCCACCACAATCTTGGGCCCCCCCCCACTACCTGAGCCAGGGTCTGCACCCAGGTCTCAAAGTGCAGGTTCTCCCACTTGGGTAGCTGGCACTTCAGCCCATGCTTGAGGGCAAATGCCAGAAAGCGGGCCCTGCTTCCCGAGCTGGAAGGGTCAGTGGCGGAGGATCCAGGCCCCATGGCTTCAGGTCACCCCTCAGCCACCTGTGCATAGCGGTGGTTCCCCTGCTGGGGGGCCACATTGGTGGGGCCAGGGGGCTAAGGCCAGAGACAGGCTGAGTGGGTGTGCTGGCTGGTGTAGCACACCTGGTCCCCTCAGGCACTGGTGGTCTAGGCATGGGGGTGGGGCCCTTGCCCTTCCCACCCCTATCTGTGGAGGAGGCAGAAGAGGAGCCCTTCCCACTCCCTGTGCCCTTGGTCCCTCATGGTCTGCCCCCTCCAGTGGAGGTTTCAGGCTTCTCTACCTCCAGAGGAGGTTGGTCAGTCTCTGCCTCCAGGGTGGGGGCTGCAGGGGCATGCATCCCCTTGGGGACTTGGCCAGGATCTGCCCCCATAGTGGGGGCTGCAGAAAGCTCTGTAGGGACATCTGCCCCTCCCCCAAGAAAGTTTGTCCCCTGCCATTGTTTCACATGAGGGAAGGGAAAACAGTAAAGAAAACCAAGATAAACAGTGGGGCTGGTGAATCTAACAGGGGCAGGAGCTCACCGAGCTATAGCCCCACAGGATAAAGACTAGGAGGGCTAACACACACAAGGGTTGAGGAGACTTGAGATGACTTACTCAGCCAAATAACAGACACCAGGGCAGGGGGAGTGGACCACAGAACTTATCACAAAAGAGCAACAAATTATACAGGAAAGGCTGCTGAGGCAGATGTAAAAGATGGCTAGAGCAGCGGAGGGGTTATGTTTGTTGAAAATCAGTCCAGGAGCCCCTCAGGCCTCCAGCCAGGCACTCAGCAGCAGAACAATAGACAGGAAAACAAAGCAGGATCAGATGCAGTGAGACAGCTGTGGGGGAAGGCAGGAGCAATCAGTCAATTAGGGAGTAATCCAGTGCAGGTGTGGTGTTGAGTGGTGCAAGGTAGTACAGCAGGGAATCTCCCTCTCTCCTGAGATGGAGCACTAACAGAACAAATAGCAGCAGCAACAGCAGCAATAATAGCATCCATCCAGTTCAGCCACTCAGGGTGTGCTTCAGGTAAGAGTGGAGGTGAAGGTGGGGGGTGGCAAGGCACCTTTAGGCTCCAGCAGTAATGGTGGGAGAGGGGCCCACAGGCAGTGCAGAATCCCTCCCCAGGCTGTCCCCCAACCTCAGCTTGGTGGTGGGCTGGGTAGCAGGCCAGAACAGGGGTGCAGAAGCTCAGGGTTGGTCCCCCCCCAGGGAGGGCAATGGTGTGCAGCAGAGGACTCCCCCAGGAGGAGCAATAACAGCAGCCCAAGGCAGGAAAGGGTGTGACCAACTTACCCCCAAAAGCTCTGAGAACAAGATAGCAGTAGCCACAGGCAGGAAGGGGCCTAGCCATCCTCTCCCCAGAAGCTCCTGAGACCAAGCTAGCAGCAGCCTGGGACAGGAAGGGCCATGGCCAAGTTCCTCCCAGAGGATCCTCCCCCAGGAAATCCTGAGAGCGAGTAGTCCTGAGCTGTTCACAGGGCAGGTTTTTATACTACTGGGGCCAGCACAGGTGCTGGCCCCAGGCTCTAGTTCACCCTGGCTGCAGATCCAGGAGGAGCTGGGCAGGGTTATTTTTCCCCAAGTGGCACAATATGCCTCACACCAAAGTGTATGCCCGGGCATATGTGCTGAGACAAAAATCCCTGGTTCAAATTTGTGCCAATCCTATTTGAGCTGCTGCATGTGCATGTGTCTGCATGTGTGGCTATGCCCCCAGTGTAGGCACCTACCCTGGAGATCTTCAAAAGGAGACTGGACGCACACCTTGTTGGGGTTATATGACCCCAGCAGTCCTTCCTGCCCAGAGGAGGGGGGCTAGACCTGATGATCTTAAGAGGTACCTTCCAGTCTTAAACGTCTCTGAATCTATATATTACATCAGTGTTGGTTTGCATGCCACATGTTGGACTCCTGTTTTTCTAAATATTGATTTAAAGTTGTCGTTTGTCCTAGCCTTTGCTAGAGAAAAATCTCTTCTAATTTTGTTATGGATTATTGACTGCAGCCTAATTAACTGGATTTTGGACTGTGAATGAATACACTTGGAGAATGCCAATCCTAGAAACTGGCTGCTGTGTTAGCTGTGGGAAGACCAAGCATCAAGGCTGTGCTTAGAGAAGGGCTGACCCTGAGGTTATTAAACTGCCAAAGAAGAAACGTTTCCTGCCTGCTATGGAGTAGAAAGCTATTGTTTTCAGATGGATGTATACAGTGCAGTCCTATAACAACTATGGATGTGTAGAGCTGAGATGCAATGGTGAGAGGTACTTTAAGGGCACTGGGGAGGTATATGGCTAGTTGGATGTATGAATGAATAGATTGTAATTATTTTCTTCTGGCTTAGGCATTTCTAAAGTTTGATTTAGAAGTACGGATTGGAGTAAATATCACACATTCGGAGAAATTTGTCAAACTTTTTACCAAGGAGCATACTTAAGTTGTCCCTGATGATCCTAACATGAAACTGGTACCTATCCCAGCTTTGCTTAAAGAAGATATGAACTGGGGTGGAGAAGGAGAAAGCCTTTCCCTGAATTCAGAGCTAGGCCTTCTGCTTCATTCTGGCTGTTTTGGTTGTTCTCCAACAAAAAAAAAAAGGATTTCAGCGCAGCATCCAAAATCAGCAAAGCAGACAGAGTGCACTAGTGGGGCTGTCCCCAGATCTGAGCCTGGAAAATTTTGCAGGGTATTTCAGAAGACCACAAGCCACATTGCAAACATCTTGCAAAGTTCTCTCTTCAGTTCCAAGGGAATTCCCTGAGACAAAACCAACCTAAACTGATTCTAGCTTCTTTGCTGTTTTTAGCACTGGCCTTATATTTTATTCAGCAGGCTAAATGTTTTGCCAGCGGCATGTCTCCTGCTGTGCAGCCTGCCTGGGAGCTCTGTGCCTCGGCTCTAAAACATACACCATCCCAGGGCAATTTTCTCATCTGATTCAGTAGTTTGTTTGGGTTTAATTGCAATTATGTTCCTGTGTGTCTAATTAACACAAAGCTTTTGTCATTTTCTAATCAAGGCCATGGGAGGCAACACAAATAGACTGTTCCTGGGGAATGAAGCTGATAATATAGGGAATGAGCCTTAGTTAAAGTGTCCCCACCACCATTTTGAAACTTGGGATGCTGAATACATGAGACACTGCAGTGTGTTAATTAGAGCCGCTCTAATTAAAATGCACCGCACCCCACCCCAGGAGCACATGTATAGACAGACACTCAGGGTGACCAAGGAGAAAAAAAAAAAGAGAACTGCCTTATTTCACTGTGGCATTCCCCCTCCCAGGCTATGGTTATATTTGATCAAAAGTTCAGATAAGTCTGAACTGAAATAGACCTTGCTGGCTGCTTCCTCCTCTTATATAAGTTTTTGCTATACATCTCTGATTTAGTAATCTATATGATGCAAATCTACCCTGCCTTCTATCCGACTTCAGACTAACACAGCTAACTACCTTTCTCTGCCTCCTTCACCCTGTAGTCCCCCATTTCCAGTGAGATGATTTCCCAGAGCTCAACCCAGTGGAATGTCAAATGTTCCAGTGATAGGAAACCAGTCTTCCTCACATACTGAAGTGCCTGGATGACACCAAAATGATAACAGCTTCCTATGTCCCCAAGTTAGAAAGACAAAAGGATGAACAAGCAGAGGAAAGGGTAGAAGTAGAGGAATGGAGACTAATCCATGCAGTGTAGACCCAGTTACTCCACAGCCCATTACCGGCATAGTCCACTGGGTAACATCTGTTGGGAGCTGCCTTTGCCTTTCCCTGAAGTACCTTTGCAGCAGGTTTTATTTCCTGCCTTCCCTTGTAGGAATGATCAGCTTCTCCTTAAGTGGGACAGACAACTCCAAAAACTCTGCCTTTGGGGTTGGGAGCAGACGATCTCACCCCAGGAGTGGTGTCTAAACACCAAGCCAATCAGGGAGGAGAGCTTTATGGGCCATGGAAGAGACAGGTGGCAAGAAAAGTCAGACAGACATGCCCTAACATTGGAGGCTATATGTATGCCAGAAACCAACAGGTGCAACACATGTGGCCTGACACAGGTCCCAGACACCTGCCCAAATTAATAGAGATCACTGTTTGTCTCCTAGCCCCATATTACAACCTGCTCCAGAAAGATCAATGCCTAAATGGCATTTCCTAGTGCTTCTGGACTTGCCTCAACTCCCAATCCACCATGACTCAGTTTCCCAGGGCTCTGCTGGGGACTTTGCTCTTTGCAATTGGAGTTTTCCATCTGACAGTAACCTGGTGTGATTCTGACCTCTCCCCTAAGGAGTCCCTGTGGGATAACAGGAAAGGCCAACATGTGCCAACACTAAGTACCTGACCTGACCTTGACTTTGTGTCAGTTCTGGGTGATTGCGAGGAGAGCCCAATGGTGTTAAAACTAGCATGGGAAGTGCAAGGTGCTAAACAAACTACCAGTAGCCCTTTATGTGAAGAAATGCAAGCCTGAGCTGGTGCCATCTGAGCACAAAAAGCGGTGGAGGGAAAGGGAACAACTTTACCAATTGAGATCCAAGCCAGCTAGAGTCACTCTTGGCAACAAAGCAGAGGTGGACATCTAAAGTTTTGTGTATGCCACCCACAGCTTCCACCTGATCTACTGAGAAAGTCCCACCCACCTGCACCTACTCACATAAGCCACACCTAGAAATGCCACCATGAAGCTACTTTTGGGGTGTCCCTTCACGGCTGCTCTTGAAATGCCTGTCTCTGGCATACTCAGGAGCAGCCACAGAGGGCACACCTACAGTAGATTCACCCCCACATTTTGGGAACCTCAGTCCCATTAGAACCATGGTAGGGAGGTGTAACATTGGCTCTGCTGAGCACTACACTCCTGGTCTTATTGCATTCAAGAGGCTGACTCACTTAAGGAGCATCCCACTCCACCTCATCAGCAGCCTTAGCAAGGGCTAGAGTGTAGTGAGCAGGTCTCTCTTCTCACCAAGAGAGCTGGCCCCTGCAGCCATCATACAAAGCAAAGCATACTGTAAAGCAACTACAGTTAGTTTCAGACTCTCTTATTTCAGCACCTCATGAGCTTCTGTACAGTGCAACACAGAGGGTATATCTCCCTACAACAGTAAAGGGCTTAGTCCTGCTGCTGAGGCAAATATCCCTGCCCATGCACTCTGCATCCACATTCACCTTGGCAATGGGGATGTTAGACCTAGGGTCTTGTTATACATTAATTTTAGGTGGCTCCTGGAAATCTTAATCCCTGGATTGTCCACAAATTAACATCTGAAACTAGTTTTAAGCACACATTAGGCAGGCATACATAGAAGCCTGTCCTGGCTCCCCTGCGGTCTAGTGCAGGTGGGGAACCTGGCTCACCTGCCAGCTGTGCAGGTGGGGGACGGTCAGAGAAGGTTTTTAGCCTTAGGATGTGACTGCTTCAAACTCAAGTTAGCTCTAACACATTGGTTAGCACTAACACATCCTAAGGCTACAAACGTTCTCTGACAGTCTCCACCTGCACAGCTGTGAGATGCCACTAGATGGCAGGTGAGCCAGGACAGGCTTCTATACCTACCTAATGTGTGCTTAAAACTAGTTTCAGATGTTAATTTGTGGACAATCCAGGGATTAAGATTTCCAGGAGCCACCTAAAATTAATGTATAATTAACATTTAATTAATGTTTAATCAACATTTGAGCAGCTCAAAGTGTAATGAGCTGCTCAAGGCCCCTAGAGATCCAAATCTAAGCACTGGGCAAAGCACCTTTTTCAGTTCCCAGTGGAGATGGGAGATGATGAATGCAGGTGACAGGCAGGGGCCATAGTTTTCAAAAATGGTCGTTGCCTATGCCTATGTCTAGTGACTGATGCTTTAAACTAGCCAACCAGGATACCAGTATCTGTACAGCTGGTCCAGTAAG